TCTCACTTGCAATATGTAGATGATACCTTAGTCTTCCTTGAGGCTGCTCCTCTTGAAATCGAAAACCTCAGACTCTTCCTCAAATGTTTTGAGAAAGCCACAGGCTTCAAAGTGAATATGGAAAAATCAAAGATGATGGGAGTGGGCCCACAACTCAAGAAATCATAACCCTTATTCCTTCTTGGGAATGTTTAGTGGAGGACTTACCCACCACATACTTAGGGTTACCTTTGGGCTTAGGGAAGCCAAAAAAGAGAATGGGCCCAGGTGATCAATAGAGTTGATAGGCGATTGATTGGGTGGACTCCTTGGCTGATCGCTCTACTTTAGTTAAAGCTACATTGGCTAATTCCCTTATTTACTTAATGTCCATATTCCCCATGCCAGCTTTGGTGGCTAATCGGTTGGACCAGCTTATGAGGAATTTTCTGTGGTCTGGCCAAGCAGAAAAAACCAGACATCACCTCATCACTTGGGATAGAGTCCGACTACCCAAGTACCAAGGTGGTCTAGGAATCAGAGATCTTAGAAAACACAATATGGCCTTGATGGGGAAATGGTGGTGAAGGTTGGCCACCCAACCAAACTCTCTTTGGGCACAGGTTATTCGGAACAAATATAAGATTTCGGACCACACATGGGTGCCTCGCAGGACTTCCCATAGAAGAGCTTCAAAAGCTTGGAAATCCTTCACCTATTCTCTTGCTATGTTCAAGCAATCACTATGCTTCCGTCCAAAAGAAGGTAATAGAGTGCGCTTTTGGTCTGATCTTTGGATTGGACATGCCCCCCTTAGGGACTTATTCCCGAACCTCTTTGAACTTGCGTCCAACAAAGAATCCACCATTACAGATGAAATGGTCCTTGCAGGGGGGCGTAGAACTTGGAATCCCTCTTTTAGAAAGAACCTCATCGAGGAGGAAACTTCAGCCTTCTCCAACCTCTCGGCTGCGCCTTACCCGGTGTTCTTACCTTCTTCAAGGATTGACTCTCTAGTATGGACTCTTTCCCCATCTGGTAAGTTTTCAGTAGCTTCTTTCTACAAGAAACTTACCCAACCGCCTACCTACCCGTTAAATCCCATCTCTCCTCTCTCCAAAGTTTGGAAAACTATAGCTCCTTCAATTGGATTGCTTGCTGTCAACGAGCTCTCACGCTTGATCAGCTTCAAAAGAGAGGCCTGCCGCTGCCAAACAGATGCGTAATGTGCCTAATTGAGGAGGAGTCAAACCCTCATCTCTTTCTACATTGCAATTTGGCCTTTGAACTTTGGACTCTTATCCTCCACTTATTTGGTCTCCAGTCCCATCTTCGGTTAAGGAACTTTTCGTTAATTACTCAGGTGGTCATTGGCTCAAAGCAGGTAGAATCTTGTGGAAGGCAGCAATAACTGCTACCATCCTATGGCTAGAAAGAAACGACTTTCAAGGACACAAAAATGAGGTTTCAGTGCTCTTTGACAAGGTTACAACCCTTGTAACTTTTTGGGATTCCACCCAAGGTATCTTTGGTGGGATTCCCAAGAATACCTTTCTCAGGCAGTGGGAAAACATTATCCAACTTCAACCTCTCAAGGTACATAGACCTTACAATTGGCAGCCTCCCCTAGAAAATGCCATAAAGCTTAATTTTGGTGGTTGCTCGTTAGGGAACCCGGGCCCATCAGGAGTTGGGGGGGTCTTACGTGACCACAACCGCAATGCCCTCATGACATATTCCGAATTTGTGGGACATGGAGATTCTCAGTTTGCCGAAGCTTTGGCACTCCTTATGGGCCTAAAAAAATTCAACACATCTTGGGGTCAACTTTTAGTGGTGGACAGAGACACTCAAAATATTGTATCTTGGGCAGCAGGCACCACTACCCCCCCTTGGTATCTATCAAGGATTTTTGACGAAATTTACCACACATGCAGGGATACCAACGTCTATTGGAGGCATACTTGATGGACGTCGAATGAGTTCGTCGACCTTCTGGCTAAAGACGAAGCCCGGTGACGATCACATCTGGAAGACCCTGACTGGTCCATCTCCTTTTTTGCTCTGGGCCACAGAGGTTTCCTAGGACACTAGACAATTTTTTGCTCCTTGTATTTGCGCGTTCCTAGAAGCCCCATTTTTTGAAAGCTCAACCATTTGTAATCAGCTACTTCAAGAGGCTATATTTTTGTATAGGGTCAGTGGACCAATTTTTTGACTGAGATACCTGTCTTGTGGGTATCCTGGTCCTCTCCTCCCTCTCTCTACTGTATTCCTGCTTGTTCCAAGTAATACAATGTTAACTTTATCAAAAAAAAAAATAATCTTAATATGGTATTAGAGCAAGGCTTGAAACCCTAGGATATTTATTACTTCCAATGCCGCTAGAATCATAATTTTGGTTTCTTGGGCTTAAAGCTCTGATGTGTCAGAAACCTAATATTTCCAGCAACATCATCTCACTTTCCTTGCCTATAAGAAAGTGTTTTTGCCAATCTGCTTTCATTTCCAGTGACCTCATATTTCCAGCAATATCATCTCACTTTTCTTTTAGCAATAAGTTTTATCCTAAACGCTTTCCAATTCTAGTAAAAAACTGCAGACTTCATTTTTTTTTTTTTTTGCCCTACACAAAAATCACATAAATATATCCCATATCTTTCTTCCCCAAAGAAAACCAAAAAAAGGGTTTCTTTGCAAATTTTGAAGCCACAAAATTAGAACCTGACACCAAAAACAGAAGAAGAAGAAGAAGAGGGTATCAAGTTCAAGAAGGAAAATGTCAAAAATCAAGCAAAAATATTTCCTTGATAAGCCGCCAATCTAACTACCCAAGATTGATGATCACTACATGTAAACTATATGGTAAACTACTTAGAATGACCCCAATCTCCCAGAATGCTCATAGGAAGCCAGAGAAAATGGGGTTATATCACAGGAAAAGTGAAAAAGCCTCCCACAAATGATCCATGCTATGATGAATGAGAAAATGAGAACTTGACAATAATGACATGGCTCCTTCACTTCATGCAACCAAGTATCGATAGGGACTGCTCTTTCCAATGTTAAAACAAATGGAGACGGGTGCCCAAAAACACCTTCACTTGTGTGTGTGTATGTGTTTTTGTGTGTTTGGGGTGGTGTGGTTGGGGGGGGGGGGGGGTTGTTGACTTTTTGTTTTTGCATTATAGTATATGATTATTTTTAAATAGCAATATACCAATCAGTTCAAATACATACATGGAGGAATATACACATTGTTTACTTTTCACACAAATTCTTTGTTGTGTAATATGAAACCATATATTACACTGATCAGTAGTCAAATTTCTTATATTTTTTTATGGGGTTTAGCCAAATTTCGTAATTTTCTTATAACTGATCTCCCATCCAACCAAAACAAGCAAGTAACCTTAATTTGTAGGGGTCCCTTGCACATTTAGTACAATCATCAACGATCATTTCAAAATCACGTTTAAAGAATAAAAGAAGCTATCTTTCTAAAATAATCAACAGAAATCACAACTCAATTCCTCAAATTAACCATTAACTGAAGTTCAGCGAGTACAAGTTCTAGGAAAGGATAACTGCCTCAATTGAATCAGTCGGAGGCCACTAGAAAGACTAATGCAAAGGACGAAGCTCAAGTATCCATCTTGAATAATTAACCTTTACAACAAGCTTCAAGCAAAGAAAAGTGTGTACGAAAGGACCAAATCGTGCCCCATGTTCTCCTGGCGAAAAAGAGAAACTCAAATGCTCCCATTGTGGGAAGAGGAAAAACGGCTGAGAGAACTGTTGGCACTTGCATCCACACTTGAGACTGAAACTAAGGAATGCAAGTGCTCCTACTGCATTGAGTGAGGGGGAGGATACCTCAGCCGCACAACTTGATGAATTAGATCTAAGAGTCAGGCCATCAAAGATTTAAAGTACCAGCTGACTACTCTCAAAGTTTCAATCAACTCCAGGACATTGCAAGAGAAGCTAGATACGTATACAACTGCAAACCATGCCTCCTACTCCACCTCTTCTACATCCTAGATCATTGATTCAGGGGCTACTGATCATATGACCGGTTTTTTTCCTGCTTCTAGTGAAGTTACTAATGGATCCAAGACCAATGCCTCTTGGAGAGGAACATATAAACTTTCATCATCCTAGTCCTTACCCTCTGAATACATGTGCTTCCTTTCATTCCAATCTTCTATGTTAGCAACCTAACAAAACAATTAAACTGTTGTGTCACATTCTAAGTTTCTAACGCTGACATTGCGTTTTTCAGGACTTGAAAATGAGGAAGACGATTGGTGGTGTTCGTGAAGACCATGGGCTGTACTTGTTCAATACAAAATGCACTTGAGTGTCTAGAAGTCATGAGCAAATCCTCTTGTGACACAATTAAGGTCACATGTTTCTAAAATCTTTAAAATGATTGTTTCCAGATAAGTTTGTTTCTTTGAATGTTCATGAGTTACAATGTCAATACCAAGGCCTCTAATCGAGTTTAACTAAAGGATACTTTGGGCAAGCTGGACATCTATGATATATATTCTCCAGCTTGAGGGGGGGTCTAGTGACTATTATGGGCCCCATGCTCATCAAAGAAACCTGGAGTTACCATCATGGTATCATGCTCAATATGAAAATCTCCATGAGGTGATAAAGTGTATAATATTCCACCATACTTGAGTATTTTCTTTTTTAACAGCTATCATATTTGGGTCATTTTCCTACTTTAACAGTTACCATATTCTGTTGTACTAGCTATACATGTTGAGCTACTAAAATTGTGACTTCCATAGAGATCTATGCATATATAGGACACATTGCCCTATGAATTGTATAGTGCGCAAAGATATCTATATTTACTTTATCTTGTGCTTGAATATTACTTTCTCAACCTTCTCTTCAAAAAAAATAAAAATAATGTCTCAATCTTAACACTTGCTTATACCTATTGAATAAATATGGGGTATTCGCAACAAAGGGGGATGCATAAGAAGGAAATGGTACCATACAGTAGCTAGCTCAAGACCATCCATTTCCGTCAGCATGGTAGACAAAAGCCTCTCTCCCACTGTAGGATTACTGCTCGAATGTCCATCTTCCCCACCACTGAAACAGAATGGGTTACAAAATAAATAATGTAGAACCATGTAGAAGCCATCAAATTTTATGTGAGAGATAAACTTGTAGCAGTACTCTTGATGTACTCTCAACCATAATACAACATGTACTAATTGAAACTATCATACAAAGGGAAACTCACATTAAATAGACATTCATGAACTATATATACATCTCACGTCAGTTGACAATATGTCTCAAAGTCATGCATCTTAGTCAAAATCACTATTTTGTCTCCCAAGTAAATTAGAAAGAACAATTGTTTCATGCAGACTGGACCATATTTCTGCAATATGCAGTCCAGAGGTATAAAGCATCCATCTTAAAGATGGATGCAAATAGGTGGTCCATCTAATTGTAACTAACGGTCCAAATGTTTTCTTAGTATAAATATTATTTCTACTTTTCAAATTTTCTTTTTTTCATATTATTTCTAGTTTCCAATAGGCGATAAGAGAGAGAGACTTAGGTGGGCTAGCCATGTGTAGTACCGACCAAGTACAACACCTGTTAGGAGGTGCAAATTAGTTCAAGTCGAAGGACTGAAAAATGCAAAGAGTAGGCCCAAAAGGATGTGATTGAAAGTAGTCTGAAAAGATATGGGAACTTATGGCCTCACTGAGGATATGACCTTTAATAGAGCAGAATGGAGAACCAAGATTCATGTGACCCCAATTAATTGGAAAAAGGCTAAAATGATGATGATGATGATTCATGATCTCCATGTTAACGATTATATATTCTCTAAAAATTAGGATCAAATTATATTTAAAAATATATTTATTGCCAAGCCCACATTTCTACAATATGCGGGCTGGACGCATGTTAACCGAATCCAATTAGAAATGCAAAATGGAGAACATGATATTAAATAGTTCGATGAATTGCAAATACACTTTTTCGTTTTTTTGAAATGTTGACAGTATAATTTTATTACTGTAACCTGAAATTGGAAATATACATTGTTCATGGGTACTTATTATACATGATGTAACAATGGATACTTGTTATACATGATGTGACAAATCTAATTCACATAAAACACCCTTTCTTATCTGGGAAGATATCAAATCATATCATTCAGATATCAGGATTATCAATTTAAAACATTAATATCAATAGGAAAAAGGATCCTTTAAACAGTTCTGGAACTTGAAAATATAGTTTGCTTAATCAACGAAACAGAATATGGTCATTTCCAATCAATTCAGAAACACAATTTTCCGAATGATGGAGGCTTCATAGTGAAAGTGGTTGGTGAAAATGGACACAGGTCAAGGTCTCATTAACATTCAGAAGGTTTCCTACAAATGGAGGAACAAAATGCCTCTTAGTACCGCGTTGACAAGCCAAATCCTAAATAATTATATAAATAGAAATGGAAGTATGATTGACCAAGCATTAGGCAGTCCCTAACAGACTATGACTCTCACATATGGAAAAAGAAAATTAAGATCTTATGCTGTTTAATGATATGCACATAAAGATGCCAGTCAATATATAGAAAACCAAAGTAATATGTTGTTACATAATTAAGCAACCCGCTCAAATAGTGATTCTGCCAATTCTTAATTTAAATAATGTTGAGAATGGTAACTCTATTACTATGCAAAGTCTATCCGTCTCACATTCAGGGATCCATTCCCACAAACACCTCCCAATTTTTCATTTATTGGTGAAATATGGTCTTATTGAGGGTATGACCTTGATAGAGCATAATGGCGAAACGGGATTTATGTGGCCTACCCAAATAGTTGGGATAAGACTCGGTTGATGATGATGATGATGAACTAGACGAAAGAACTCAAGATGAAACAGTGATTTCAACAAATCCAAACATACATCTTCACCCCTCAAAAGGGATAAGCATGCTCTCATTCGGGACATCTGTTATAATATCATCAGCTATCGCCGCAACAATATGGACTGCTTCCACCATGGGAGCAGAACTGCTCTCTCTCGGGTGAGCTGTAAGCCGAGATGATCGATTTAAAAGTTTCTCAATGCTTGAATTGTAATTTTTGATGAGTTATGAGGTGAGGCTTTACTTATTTTGATAGGGTTGCAGCCTTGTCAAACCTTTTTCCTATTTTAAATGTCTAATTTTGATTTTAAATTTTTTTAGGGTTTTTTAAATTTTCTAGGGATTCTAGGTTCTTTTTTTATAAATTTAGAATTTTTAGAGTTGTTTACAAAATTAGTTAGTGCATTCATGGAATATTTTGTTTTATCACATATAAAAAGTCATTGTGAATTTTGTGTGCTTATAAAATTAGTTGGAGCGTTTAGAGAATATTTTGTTTATCACAAATAAAAATGTCATTGTGAATTTTGTTTTAAGTTAGGATTATTAGTCAATCTTATTTTGGTGAAGGCCAATATGGACTGTGCAGAGGTCTTAGGGGGACAGTCGTGTGATTTTGAAATAAAAAAGGAAGTTTTTAGCTTTGAAGCCCTAGTTAGGGTTTGGGAAAAAAACCCTAGATTTCTTCAAATTGGAGTTTGTGCTTTGCCTAAAATTGTTTAATTTATGTTTTTTCTTCATCAACCTTCTTCATCAAGTGGTATCAAAGCACATGATTCTTGAGTAGCAAGGGAAATATTGGGTTAAGTCTAGGGTTTGCTGAATGTAGACCAGGGTTTGCTGATTTTAACCAAGAATCTGTCGATCCTAGGGTTTACTAATTTTCACATAGAACTTGCTGATTTCAGCTAGGTTTGTTGATTTTTTGCATATGGTTTGTTATTTTGATAAACCTATGGCAACAAGAAAGGATCATGGAGGGCTCTCATAGACCAACCTCAAGATGCTAGAGATGAAAAGATTAAGAATTTCAAGAGGCAGGTTCAGCAACTTGCTTAACATCTTGCGGGTATCAATTATGGGCAAGACAGTGATCTTTCTGCCCAACAAGATGCCAAGTACAATGCTTTTCATTGTCGTTCACACACGGAGTTGAGCAATGAGGAGAATGAAAGATAACCTAGATGTTGAGGGTGTCACTCTAGGTTTTCGATTTGAAGGTAACATTCCTACTTTTGACGCATGTGTATCCAAAGTCAGCAAGTTGTAGATAGCAATTCGTCACCAATCTTTGATATATGCTCAGATGAACAAAAAGTTCCCTTAGAAGATCTGATCTGTGATGAGGTTCAAGATGCAGATCTCAAGGTTATTGAAGAGGTGGAGCATTCAAGAAATTTAGGGCATTGGAATCAGACTATTAGAATAACCCAACGAATGTATGGTCGGCACATAAACCGCAAATTGGAATCCTGGATATAATGAAATATAAATGTCGAGAAAGCCTCTAAAGGCCAGAAAATTGAATTTGAAGCTTTCTGTACAATTTTCAATGCAAGGTTAGGGATAATCGAAATTGATAAATTTATGTTGATTCCTCAATATACATATCAAGATCTATTTCTTAATGAATCATGAATAATCTTTGAGCCAACAAAGAAGAAGGTTGAAGAAGGTGATTTTGATACTGAAGTCATCTTAGCACACTTCACAATTCGATGTTGAGTTTTCTCCAACCAGGGGATCTAATGTGGACATAATTATTCTCATTTTAATTTTTATTAAATTTCAAATAATGTATTTTTTAATTTTAATTTTAAGGTTTACTTTTAGGATTTTTAAGTTTTATTGGGATTCTAGGGTTTTCTCTTCTTTTTATTTAATATATTTAGGATTTTAGGAGTTGTTTAGGAAAGTAAGAGTGATTACGGAAGATTTTCTTTTATCAGGGGAAAAAATATCATTTCTAAGTTAGGACTATTTAGTCAATCTTATTTTGGTGAAGGACATTATGAGCCTTCGTACCTCAATTAAGTTATAAAAGAGGTGTGGATGTCTAAGGGGCACACTGACATGATTATGAAATAAAAAAAGAAGGAAGCCCTAATGGCTTTGAAGTCCTAGTTATTCTCTCAAAAAAAAAAAAAGTTCTAATCAGCGTTTGTCGAAGAAACTCCAAGTTTCTTCAAATTGGTGCTTCTGCTTTGCCTAAAATTGTTTAATTTCTGTTCTCATCATCAAATTTCTACATCAAACATGCAAACATGGAGAATTCCCTAAGATGAAGGCAGAACAAGAACCAGATTAGACTCTAGTTTCTGTCTTCTGATATTAGAAGCAATCCAAAAAGCATAACATTGTTGCATACTATATGTTATTAAGGCAAGAGAAAAAGACAAGCAGATTAAATTGTGGAATGCACCGTTTTGTGGCAACAGCATCAGCCTCATCAAAGAATACAATGCTAGGTGCCGCTAGACGAGCCTTTTGGAATGTTCTACGTAATAAAGCCTCCCCTTCTCCAACATACATGGAATACAACTCTGCACCACTGAAAAGCAACATGACATAATTAGAAATTTAGAAGCCCAACCATAATAAGCACATTTATATTTGTTGATTGACCAAATTTTATCATTAGAAATGTACCAAATGCCTAAATCAGATCAAACTCATCTGTTTGTTTTCACCTGTTAGATGTCTTGCTCAATCAATATATATGCTCCACCTTTTATGACCAGAAATTAGAAAGTGAAGTATGTTTTCATGTCAATTACACTGCTTCAATACTAAGATGAAAAAATGACAGTTGCTCATTCTTTGCTTTCCATGCTTCTTGTAATGTATATGCAATGCAAAATGATATTTTCTTTATCTTTTTGAAAGTTGATACAATGCAAAATCATACACAAAATCATCCATAAAGACACTGTTCACAACTAGTGGGTTTAAAGTTGTTGGCAGTTAGCTAAGCAACTAGTCAGGCAAAAGAAGCATATAAATTGAAATATATTATAACCAAATCTACTATAGAAAAACAGTCGTCCGTAGGGTTCCACAAGAACATGAATTTATCTCTCTCTCTCTCTCTCTCTCTCTCTCTCTCTCTCTCTCTCTTCCCCCCCCCCCACATCAGTGTCCATCATTTCAATGGACAGTACTGAGCCGATGAACTATATTACTCATTTGGACCATGGTATACTTTCCCAAATAGAAAACACCAAACTTATCGTGCAAAGATAACTTACCTTAGGGAAAAGAGGGATGCTTGGGCAGCATGAGCTGTGGCTTTAACAAGAGTAGTCTTTGAGCACCCAGGAGGTCCATGCAGAAGTACTCCACGGATTGGTGTAAGACCAAGTCTCACAAAGGCCGAGGCATGTTTAATAGGCCATTCAACAGCTTGTTGAAGCTTCTTCTGTTTTGGGAGTTGCACCCATGTTATATAAGCAAACATCAATAGCAATAGAGCATGAAAATAATCTTGACATTCAATTCTTGTTTTACTATCTCACCTTCACTTCTTTAAGTCCTCCGATATCATCCCAGGTCACTTTGGAGACTTCTTCAGTTAGACCTCTCGTTATGCTTGGACCAACCTTAGACCTTGCAATTTCCCAATCTTCATTTCTTAATGTAGGTAGAGCGCCAGTTTCACCTGTCTTTGTGGATCTCCGTAGTGCAACCATGGCAGCCTCACGACACAAGGCTTCCAAATCAGCACCAACATACCCATTGCAAAAGGCAGCAATAGCATAAAGATCAACACTCTCATCTAAAGGGAGCTTCCTTGAGTAGAGCTGCATCAAATGACCAATCAAGCTAATTTGTCCAAACAAATCCCCTTCTGGTGTAATGTAGCCTAATGAAGGACTAAAAGGAATTATCACTAGTGTAGTCCACCATGTATAATATCAGATTTTCTGCACTTTTAGGACAACTTAATGTATACAACATTAATGGAAGAAGTTGATGATCAAACAAAGAATTCTCACTAAAAAAACTTGTGAAAATGGTGATTGTGTTAGGGAGGCAACCAACGTCAAACTTTGCCAAAACTTCTCATGAATATGGAATACTACAAGATAATCCGACTCCAATTAGTTGGGAAAAGGCTTTGTTGATGATGATGAAGAAAAGAAAAAAAATGTAATAAAGATAACATTATACTCGCTCAAATATTATCTCTTCACTAGGTCACCTTGAGGAAGCATTTTCCATCTATGGGAGACAAGTACTACAATGATTTTTATTTTCTTGTTCAATCATTAATCAAGAGATATACTATTTGGACTGATTTTTTGTTTGTTTTTTTTGGAGTATTATTTGGAATGATTTCATATCACATTAAGATGTGTAACACGACACCATCCAATTTTTGATATGAAAAACCAAACACTAATCAAGTTAATCTACCAGAATTACTTCCATTTTCTCCAAATGTTGCCAACATATTTCAAGTGAAAGATTCATCATCAATTCACAATATGACTCAAGTATCCATGTAACTGTTAGAAAGCTCAGGCGAGGCCATTCGGACTTGCCAGAGTAAATCGGGTTTGGCAGTGGAACAATGCACATGGAAACTGGCCGAGTTTGGCTGGTTGGCATTATTTCAATTTATATTTTGGACAAACTCAGCTAAATTTGTCAAAGACTCTGTTAAGTCTGACAGACATTACTCAGACTTGGCACCTACCGAGTCTCAAAACGTGTCTGTGTTTTATTTCATTGATCCATGAATATTGCAAACAAAAATAAGCAAAGCGTACCTCAAGGATTTGAAGACGCTCATACTCAGTAGGTATTGTCACTTCAATCTCTGCATCAAAACGTCCAGGTCTTCGTAATGCTGGATCAATCCCATTCACTCTTAATATAGACAAAGTAGAATATAAATTATTGGGACAATGTGAAACACTTCAAAATTACTAACATAATTAAAAAGGGCATTGAAACACTATCTCCTATATGAAACCTTGAACAAGTAACAATCCAGAATTCAAGAGACAATTTTCTTCATTCAAATTGATAGATAGATGCTAAATAAATAAGATTTTCATAAGGTATGGTATGTATAATGCATCAACCTCAAACAATCAAAGTAGGGCGCACTTCAAAACTTTGCCAAAAGATGCAGTTTTGGTGTGGCTCACCTTGCGATGGCATAAAAATCTATCGTCACCCCTAACTATGAATTTTAAAGCCCTAAAAACTACTAGAATTTAATGAACAGTCCAGATGATGTGTTACAAGATGCACTATTTTTATGAATTGAAATCTTCTTCTTCTTTTTTCTTTTTCTTTTTCCAATATCCATAGATCTTGAGGTTGAGACGATAAATTTGCAGGTTTTATAGCATTGAAAGAATTTTTTCTATCAGGTTTTTAAGGTGCGCCTTACTTCAATCTCATAAGGTTGACACCTTATATAAAATTTTTTCCTTTTTCATAGTTCTTTTTTCTTTTGATTTTAATAATCACAAGAGGAACATGGAAAAATTCACGTAACATAACAATATTCTGGTTAGCTGTTTAGACCCCAACCTCATCTTCAAAATCAAATGGCTGAGATTGATTGAAAGTAGCAGTGAGAAGAACTCCCAAATAACTAACCTGTTGGTAGATGCGACAACAACAACACGGGGAAGAGACTTTGATGACGTCTTGCTTCCATCCATCAAGGTAAGAAGCTGAGCAACTATGCGAGATTCATTCTCTTTCCTACATCAAAAATTTTTACACTTTCAGACTACCTCCAAGAGAAGAGCAATTTAGAATCTTAGAACGTAGACACCAGCACAAATGGGACCATTTCAATTTTAGGTAACTTAAAAATAATTAACTGTTTCTAGAGATATAATTTGTCATATTCCCCAGAAAGCTTCCTGTGCGTCGATTATGCCAAGAATTTATAGGTGGAGAGTATATACCGTAATCCAATGGACTATAGATAAACCAAAGTCCATCGGGCCATCACCATCCACTGAAACAACGTGCAGCAAGATAGAGAGGGACACATCAGACGAGTACACTACCTTCTCTCTCCATCACTATCCATCATTTCATTGGATGGAGATGATCTAATCAACTATGGTTTTCCCATATTTCCTCTTAATAGGTGATACCTAGAGTCACGACGAGGACACAAAGCATCAATTTCATCAATGAATATGATGGATGGTTTTCCGGATGAGGCATGAGATGCTGCTTGAGCAAAAGCCTCCCTCAAAATCTTCTCACTTTCTCCAGCAAATGCTCTATGAACCGAATGTGAACTGGCACAAACCCAATGATAGCCACAACATAATCACAATCTAAAATGCGGTGCATTTTATTACAAAACAAAGCAGTATGCAATTTACTTTAGCTGTTTATTAATATCTCTAGTCTTCACTGATTCTCTCCAAATTTTTAGCTTGTCAAGTAAAAGCATGGCCACAATCATTTAATTATCCACATAAAAAGACTATCCAAAAAAGCCATTTCATGAGACTACACGGTTAAATAGGCTCATGTATGGTTCTATCATCATAGGAATGTAACTCAAATACCTAATCAGAGTCAAATGTGCGTCACATTCTCGAACAATTGCGCGAACCAAACTCGTCTGAAACACAGGCAAATCAGGTGCAGTGGAAAGGCATGCAGTAACTCAGCTACTACGGGCAAGCGCAAGCAAGACAACAACAGAAACTTTTCAGACCATGATATCGATTTTCATAAAATTCACCCTTTTTAGAACAAGTGGCTTGAAAATAAAAAAGCATTCCTCAGAATATCTGATTTTGCAGTGCCCAAGGTAATAACTCGTTTGAAATTGTAGATATTGGACATAAATTTTTGGTTAGTTTCAAGATATCACGATATTAATTTCTATCACATTACATGTTTATAAAAGCAATTTCATATAATATTTTTAAAATAAAAGCATATGTATTCTGAAAAACTCTTATCTTTTTATCAATCTGCAACAGAGATGTCCATAAAATTGTGAGAAAAATATCACGATTACAGTGTCCTCACAAGGATAAGTGTTTTTCTCAATGTTCCTCATGCCGACCCGTGTAACTAATAAGTCAGTAAAACCCATTTTTAAGTTTGATTAGAAGTTAAAAAAAAAAAAATTACTTAGTTTTCAGAGTGGTTTATTCACCTGTAAAACACTGACGGATTTCTAATAAATAACCATTCAAGAGGACTTCCTCAATAATATTCTGCTAAATTCCACACTCATAATACCCACAAAATCATAATTATTACTTTTGATAGTGAGAATTTCACTTTACAGCCACAAATGCGGAATTTGGGGGAAAAAAGTACCTTTCCTGTACCTGGAGGACCATGAAGAAGCAATCCTTTTGGCCACTGTTCACAAACACAAATAATTTATCTTCAGAACTCATCAAGCAGAGAATACAGAGACAGAGCTTGAAATGAAAACCAGAAATATGGAATGAGAGTAAACAAGATAGTAAGAAAAAGTAAAAAATGGATTTTGAATTACTTTCAAGCCAAGGATCTGAGACTCTTTCGCATAGACGATGGGGTAGACCAGTAGCTCCCTGAGAGCTTGAAGAGCATTGGAGTTTCCAGCAATGGCGTCCTCCGCCCTAAAAAATGTGGTTTGCTCCGTCTGCCATTCTTGGATAACCAGAAAACGACGGTTATCAATGCAGGATTCGCAGTATAATGGAGAAAAGTAGGGTTTTAAGAAAGGCAGACCAGGATATAGTTAGGCCTTGGAGAAGCAAAAAGCTAGTTTTTTTTCAAAGCTGAATTAGCAGAAAACTGGGGAAATCTAGGCTTCCTTTAGCGGAATATTTGCAGAGAAATGAGAAATTAGGGTTTCAGAAAATCACGCCAAGATTTTAGGGCTCTTGCAGTATAATGAAGTAAAGCAAGTTAGGGTTTAACGGAAATGGGCATTAACAATCCACCTACGTGTAGAACCCTAAATCGTTCAGAGAAATATATTATCACCCATGTTTTGGGTGGCAGAAACAAGAACTGATCCTGGAAAGTGGAAACTATTTATTTTCATATCTTATTGCATTTCGCAGGAAATGAGATGGGCTCTGAAGCGCAAGAATGTTAAGACCCGAGACCCATCTCGGACAGAGAATGCTATTGGGCCTCGTTAAATTGGGCCCCGCAAATATAACGGTGTTTGGCTTTAGTGCGGTTTGTATAGAGCCGAGGCTCTAAACAATCAAATTAGAGCCTACCTTCAAATATTATCGAGAAATATGGTTTCAATACTGGAATTATTTGTGAAAGCCTTAAATATATCTTCATATTTATTTATGAAGTTTAAAGCTTTAAAAATAGTGTATATCGACAAATCTGGGAAAACTTAAAAATCTTGAAAATTGATAGTCCAAAAATACGTTACAAAATACACTATTTTCAAAACTTGAAATCCATTTTTTTCTCATATCCATACATCTTGATGTCGAGATAATCAATTTGAGGATATTTGGACATCGAAACAAACTCTTCTAGTAAATTTTTTGTAACAGGTTCCAATTTGATTGTTTAGAACCTCGGCTCTATATAAGCTTTTCCTTTCTTTTAAATCTTCCTTTATGCCGGGTTTTCAATAAGTGCTCCCCCTCCAATATGTTTTTTAAAAATTTGAGATGCATGTCGAGATGATCAATTTGAGGATATTTGAACATCAAAATAAACTCTTCTAATAAATTTTTTGTAACAGGTTCCAATTTGATTATTTAGGGCCTCGGCCCCATATAAACTTTTCCTTTCTTTTAAATCTTCCTTGCTGCAAGGTTTTCAATAAGTGATCCCCCTCCAATATGTTTTTTTTTTCATTTGATAGTTATTTTTTTATTTTTTTTATTTATACTAAAATTGTAGATTTCGAAAATTTTGAAATTTCATTTTTTTTCTCATTATCTACTTTAAAAGGTATGATTGATAACCAGAAGTTAGTTCCCATTAGATGGAACTTACCTGTTACTATTTCTGTTTGTTAAAAGATTGTAAGATATTTAAAGAAGTCCTATGTACCGTAACTCATCGTACTTTTACGCTTTAAAAAAGTTCGGTGGAAAACCACGGAACTTAAAAAGGGAACTTCATCCCCGACCTCACCCTCTCGCTTCTTTAGCACCCTCACACCAATACATTCCATGCCTCTGCCTCCTCTGCAACTGCTCCTCCGCATAGGTCCTTCTCTCTCTCTAACCCCTATTCCTCTCTCTCCCTCTGTCTCTAACCCCTCTTTCTCCCTCTCCCTCTCCCTCTCCCTCTCCCTCTCACCCCTCTTCATCATGTACCTTTCTTTTTCTCCTAAACATTTCTCCTAAAACCAGAAAGTTCATTATTGGATATTTTAGGGGTTCTTTTGTGGACAATAAAACATTGAAAATTATTAGAATCATTAGTTTTGGATGTGCTTTATCTTGCAAGGCTTCAAAGATTAAATCATTAATGGAGAAAATATGCGATTTTCAAGTTATGTTTAGCAATATGGTAAAATACTTTCCTGGTTTTCTTTTATTGAGCATTTTAGGGCTTATTTCATGGACAATAAAACTAAAATGTTCAAAATGATTAGAATCATTGGTTTTTTAGTGTTCTAGATCTTGTAGGGTTTTAAAGATCACATTAATGATGTATATTGCATATTCTTATTTTCTTTTCATTGTCGCTATCTCTTTTGTTTTCTTTTTGCTTTAATTTTTTTTGTTGAGTTCTGAATATAGAATAGCACTTTGAGAGTTATTAGAGTTTTAATGCAATGAATGAATCTTGAACTTCTAGGATTGTAAGGACAGGGGACTGTTAGTAAAAATTAATGCATTTTCTTCACATATTTTTGTTTTCCTTGTGAGTACCAACATATTAAATTTCAAGAATAATTTGTGAATGAAATGCTGTTTTTTTTATAATTATTAACATTTTAGGGTTCTAAAGGAAATTTACTAACCATGCAGACTGTACTCTCCTCCTGGCCCATCTGAATTGGGTTTTTTTACTGCTGTCTATGAGAACACCTTCTTAATGATGAATAGATGCCTAAGAGGTCTTGCTTTTTTCGGACATTTTTTTTTCCAGATATTTTATGAATGGATGTCTATGAGATTGTTTTCTTATGAAAATGTGGATTTTTAGATGAAATTGTCGATCTTTCTTTGGATATTTGAAGGGATGCCTAAGCAGTCTTGCTTTTCAATCTCTTGCAGATGAAATAAACATGCAATTTTTTAATTGTGTGAATGGATTCTTTCTAATTATTGCATCGTTGGACATTAAAGATTGCCACGATCTGATTTTGATTTTTTTTTTATTGTGAAGGGAACGAAAATGTAGTCTTTTTTTTGTTTTTTTCTTTTCTTTTTTTTTTCAAGATTGTTGACGAGTGAATGTCCATGATATCCGTCTTTTTTCTTTCTTGCTGGATGGGTCAAAGGTGCAGCTTGAATGTGGCCAGGATCTGTCTTTTCTCTTTCTTACTAGATGGGTATAAGTGATTCTGTTCATGACAATCTATGTCATCTATTTTGCTCTAAGTTGTTTTTTTTGTCAAAATTTGGCGTATTTGATCTGTTATTGACAACTGAAGGAATGGATAGTTCTATGTCGTAAGATTTATTGAAGTACTTGTTTTTAATTTTTTAGGGAGTTTTTCATTTACTCTCTCTATTGTTATTTTAAGGCTTGAATGATTGTTATGAGAAACATGTGCTCTACATTTTGCAATTTTCACTATCACTTGCTATTCTTCTAGCATGTTATCAAACACATGTACTTAGAACTTCTTTAACATTTGAGCAAGTTATGAAACACATGTACTTAGAATTTATTTAACATTCCAGCAAGTTATCAAATACAGAAACCTAAAATTTTTTTACAGTAACTTCTTTTTTCTCCACAAAAGGAACTTCGAATATACAGTTTATAATTTAACTTCTAGTTATCAAACACGTCAATTTCGGACCTTTAAAGTTTGAAGTTAGTATGCTTACAAAAATCTCTCTCAAATGTGGCGTTTTGTATTCATGTTTAGCTATTAAAGCATTAAACGAGCCAACTTCAGAAGTTGATTTTGAATAAAACCACTTTGAAGTGATATTTGGGAAATAAATTTATTACAAAAAAAAGAAAAATTAAACTCTTGACTCAAGGAATCAAGTAGGGGCTAAAAAAAATGATAAAAAGAGTAAAAAAGATTAAGTATGTAGGAAAAAAATATATTCAGGGACCTTCTAACTAACGGGGAGATGAATGTCCAACGAATGTGAACAAAATAAATGCCCAACGGGGAAGGATGTCCATCTCACTCAAATAAGAGGGAGATGGATGTCCAACGGTGGATTGCCCAAACTTGAAAAACGTAAAACTTTAAAATTGCCCAAAATTTGACATTGGCCATTTAAGCAAAGTAAAATTTTTTTACCACCATTAGCCATTTAAGCAAAGTAAATTTTTTTTACCACCATTAGCCACCACCATTAGCCATTTGGCATTATAAATTATAAACATACCCAAATCTAGCCAAAAAATTGTAGACAAAAATATCTTAGAAAACTATATGCATCACACAATAGGAATAAATCCAAACATAAAAGAAACCACAAAATTATATTATATATTTTCAATATTAAGTAAAATTAGAAATAAAGCCAAACACAACTACAAAATATATCATAAGTTTTTTATTTTACATTGAAGTAGAAACATAGCCAAACATATCAAAAAAATATATGTTATAATCACAAAAGTTGCTCATTTTGAGATGCGAAAACCTCTGTTTTCAAAAAGTCGCCCCCCTCAGCTGCCAGGCAATTGGGAGGCATCACCTCGCCACCCTGGGATTATATGGCCTAGGGCATGGCAATAGGCTAGGGCAAATGACTAGACAAATCACCTGCCTAGTCGCCTGGCTAGGCGCCCAAGTCTGGGCCTTTTTGGAGAGGGTAATGCCTTTATGTCCCACCTCCAAATCGGGGAAGATAGGTTATGGGGGTTATTTTGGCTCCCCAATTGTGTAGAAAGTGAGATTTCCATCTCAAAAAATAAGTTTTTTACTTCAATTAAATTTTTTTTAAGATCGATCTCGAATATAAAGTTTTTGATTTCTTGATATGAAAGGCATTGGACTTGGGTTTATTTGGAAACAAAAGAGGTTACAAAATAGCCCCTACCAGTGTTCGTAAAATCGAACCGGAATGGTTAACTGACATGACCCCGGAAGCGGTTTAACCGGCCTAACCGGTAAACCGACCAATTCAACTGTTTCAACCGGACAAGTCCCGGATGGTCAAAAAAGTGCTGAAAAAATCCAAAAGATATAAAAAAAGCTACTGAAGTATGATTAAAATCAAACACATTCAAATAAAGTTGAAAATCAATAAAAAAGAAATATTTTAACGAATCGAGTTTTGAATTAAAGTGAGCATTAGTGACAAAAACAATTTTTAATCTTTACCATAGATTTTTTAGGTCTTCAAAACTTAGATATTACCGTTGAATGGTCTCAATTTTTATTCAATTTCTTGAAATTATTTTTTCAAACAGAGTGTATTTGAAAATTTTCGTTTTCGAGTCAATCACTAAGTTGAGGGGGCCATCAAGAGGATTTGAGGTCCTAAAAACATTCCTAGGAGATTGGGTTTTACCTGTGGGAGCAAATGGAGAATGTCCTATAGGAGTATAGAATCTTTTAACTTTAAACTCAATGGGCAGCAAAGCAAAGAAAGAAAGAAA